ATGTTTCTCATGAAATTCGAGCAGTCTTGTGCTTTACAGCTGTTCACAGTCTAAACCGAAACAATCTTGGAAAAGAGTCACGCCCCCAGCAGATCCACTCGTCTTCAGACGCTGCTTGGAGCTCGGCTGCGACTTCCATCTATCTTGGCTCTAGAATATCCTGGTCATGTCGCATTGTAAAAGAGCGCATGTTGCGCAGTGATTACAGGCGCTCTGCGTCGCACACGAGGGCAATGGTTCGATCTCGCGCTCATGGCTCACCAAGCCGTAGATCCCTCTAGGGTCGATAAGCTGGTACCACACAGGTCTCGGACTCGTCTGGGAGTAGAAGCAGCACTGACTTGATACAGCGGAAGGCCACCGCGAGTCATTATAAAGGCCAGCTATACATTCAATCACCTCAAACGAAGCCAAAAATTGAAAACTAATGCATGGCGCATCCGTAAGGGAATGATCAACGGCGAGAGCTCCATCCTTTATCCTTTATCGCAATGTAGTTCATATCGTTGTATATTGCCTATGTGTGAAGTCACTGTTCCTTACAATGTGCAGCTCCTCTCAATCATCTAGATAATTGGGGTTCGGGACATCTAATAACTAGTCTCACATCTATTGCATCATCATGAACTGCTAATATTGCGTTACATCTCGTAATTGTTGTTTCTTCAACCGCAATTATGTTGGATTGTTACTTGCTATACATTATTCGCTACGGCGATGAATGTGGTCCGTTCGTTACAGGATCGACGCTGGTCGAAATCAAATAGGTAGTTAAAGCCCCTCATGGCGGGAATGATAGATAAAATCGAGTGACTCATCTGGCACACTCGCAATAGGTACCAAAGCCTAACTACTCTTGTACAGTCGTCAAGAAAGCTAAAGTAATCAAAGCACTCTTGATTAAAAAACCAGTGTAAACAATATTTCTACTCATCGAGAAGAAAGTGGAAAAGGGCGCACATTATAAAAACATACGCAGTGACATAAAGAAGTATACGTACACACGCAGACCGATGCAAGCATACACACATAAGCACATTGCATTGAATAGGAAACAGCTGCAAAATTGTACTTCATGTGGCTACCAGTCCTGATGATCGCTATTCGGTTGATCTCCATCTGAGCAATTTAGTGAAGCCATATAAAAACGCTATCTTAAAAGTTATTTTGTGGCGGCCGATAAGATTGGAATGTGGATTTGGTGATTTTTTTCTAAAGAAGCAAAGGAGATGTTCGGCCGACTGGCTTGTGGGCAGCTTGATCTTCCCACTCTCTACGAACAAGAGCCGAAGAAACGTCGGCTTTTTGGATATAAAAATCTCTTGTTTGACTCAAAAATAGATGTCTGTGTGTCTGACAGAACACTCACAGTAGCATTTCGCATCACTTATTGTTATGTTGATTCTAACAGTTTTCGTACATCTTGTGAGTTCCCCATTAGAGAATTCCTTTTCCTCAGATCCAGCGTAAACCTTATGCTCAGTGCTGAGGGAATAGCATTCTATGACAGAAAAATGTCCTTCAGAATTCTAGACATTGACGAGAATGGTACAATATTTGAAAAATTACCAGATATTTAGCAAAGGTAAATATTTTGTTTTCATAGTGTCACGACGAACTCCTAATTTGATCCATTTGACTGTATTCAATGACTTTTCTTTTCGTTATCTAGACAAAATAACGCGATCAAGTCAGTGAGCCCTCATTAGGAAGTTCACAGCACTCTTCTCTTGGGAGATCGCGGTTTGTCGAGCTTCCGACAGATGAAGCCAGCTTTATTACTAGATATCTTCATGTGCCATTACAGTCGTCTTTGATTTCGTTGACTGAGAGGGGAAGTGGAAAAACCACTTTTTGGACTTTATCACTATATACTGTTGAAAAAAGAATATCTCATGCAAAAAATAACCTCAAAATCGTTCATAGATTGGAAACAGAAGAAGACAGTGCTAGCCGGTTATGAAAACTCAAATCAAATTCCATAATGGGTAGTTAGCTCGATTAAAATTGTTAGCGTTGTTCATTCATCTCAAGATTACTGTCATCTTGTAACTCTATCACGGCGACAAAACGCATTTGTGCTCCCTGTAATGACTTGTGGTCGTCTACCGTTTAACGGAAAGTGAATAGCAGTTCTTCACTCTATTGGGCTTCATTGAGATAAATTTCTTATGACTGTAGTCTACGACAACCATAGAGCACTCCAGCATTGGTAAATAGTGCGAAACTCATGAACTGCCATTTGTAAATGAAGGCATAACGATCGACGTCAATAAGTTGCGTCTGATCAGCATATTGTTGTGTAACATTACCATGAAAGTTACTCTGAAAATAATTTTTGAAACTGCAAAAGTCGAACTTGCAAAAAAAGCGGACACGTGAGTGCATGAATTACTTCCGATTACCTTCCAGAATTGTAGAGATTTCTGAGTAATATCTGTTAGAACCCAATAATGAAGGAAGCCTGCTGTAAGGGAATGGATTGAACCGGATGGTTCACCAAGTGGACTTACCATTACTTACATGATACATGAACTTTCTCTGAGTGTGTATAACAGCTTGAAATACAACTTGATGGAAGACAGCGAGCAGAGTGAGCCGAGCCGAGTTTGAACCTTTGACAGAGACCCACTGGGCAATTTCATTATTCCAACACATCTACATATGCGACGCTGCAGTCAGCATGTGGCGGAACTAGTATTTCTCGATAGAACTACGTCTTTTGAGAACACTTACAACATTGAGACCTGGTTTCGCAGTTCACATCTTGGAAGGATGCCCTGTCTTCGAAGCAGAGCAAATTATGCGTCAACATCAAAACAAGTTTCATGGGGAGGGGGGTGAGGAGGAGGTCTTTACAACGAGATGGGAGATGACTGGAGAATGAAAAGAACAACTGAGTGGAATTGGAAAAAGACCTTAGGCTGGACACATAATACGATCTGCTGAGAGCGAACGACGATAGACGTATACCGGGAGAATTCTTTGAAATGTTTAACACACAATAAGAAGACCACCTGATATCTACTTGCAGCCAGCACTTTGGAATGAGTAACACTTTCTGCTTCGAACACTATGTCGTTTACTATTGGGATGAGACTTCCACAGCGAAAGATGATTTCTTAAAACATTTTTAACTACGGTTGCAAAGAAAGTTCTGAGGCACTTCAATAAGCATGGGATAACACCCATGCAAATCATGGAAATATTACATTTTCTCATGAGGGATTTTCTCTCTATGGGCCTAGATATTATTTGTCTTTATTGTCACTTTATTACGAGCCTCCTCCCTGTCTAATGACATAATCGCAGTTCGTGTTTTGTTGCGACATCGTTGGAGAAAGGGTCTTTCACATTGAGCTAAACGAAATTGAAAGATAAGGCACAACAAGCAAATCCGTTGATGAAAGCTGGTTTCAACGCTTCTCAATGCCGGAGATCTTGACCACGAAGACAACCTCGTTCCGGATGTCCAACTATATCTGAGTCGTTCGATGAAGCCGAAGAAGCACGTAAAGAGTTTTTTGACTCGATGTCGAAAGAATCGTACTCCGACCAGCTTCAAAACTTGGCGGGCCGATGGCAGAAAGTCTTAGGAAGCGATGACCTTCATTTTGAGGAATAGTCATTATGCTTTTGTTTACAGTTCATGCATGTATTTTCAGTTTTCTACAAGTACTCGAAAGCTTTCTTTCGAACCTAATAATTTTTGGAGATGCAGGGTCACTAAAGAGCTCTTCAAAATTCGAAATCTCGGCTATCGTATGCTCCGCAACAGTCCAGTGAACATGAGGACGAGAAATATTGTCCAACTGAGAAAATGTCGGAATCGCATCAAATTTTGTTGCTTTTCTCTCTATGACACATCAGTATCTGCCTTAAAGCGTTAATTTGGGTAGACATCTTCAGGTCTTTGAACTTCGAAAACTGAATGAGTCAAATTGATCACTCAGTGTAGTGAAGAAAATTCCAAACTTTCCAACGATTTTGAAGAAACATTACAGAAATGGCGGAAAAATTACATTACATTACAGAAAATTACACTAGAGAGATTGTAACCACTATACAAAGAACTGAGATTTCACTATATAAAATGTACAATAACAAATATTGCTCTGTCTGCATATCATGCGGAAAATGCGGAAAAACCTCGTTTTGTAAACATCCACCTTGAAACGTTTGAAAAGATAAACAGGCTAGCGTCTGCTTATCATCACATCAATTAAACATCGTCCACTGTGCTTTTCCGTTCCAATATATTGACGATTCATCGATGGAAAATATTTGCCTATCTCACTCAACATTTGATGTCTTCGTGCAGCTGTTTATTCTAGGACCCAGTCCTGACATGATTTTCCGTTAACGTCATCATACTGGTGGATTTTTGCTAACATTTGATTGCACGCTTATTTCTCAACCATGCTATTGAAATTCTATAGACCTACTCAGTTTGACTATCGGTTGACCACTCCGTTAAAACTATAATGTATTAGCGTGCCAAGTGTAAGAGGCTAACAAGAACATCAAAGTTTCACAAACTCAGTTTTTGCTTAGAAATTTGTCACCGAAAAAAGTTTTACTATAAGAATTGCGCTTTGTATTTGTCAATCGAAATCTTCTTTGAAAGACTTTTTCTCAGAATTGCAGTTTTGATTCAGGCGCTTTGTCGATTGTCGCAGCATCAGAAATAGGGAGACGGGAGCCGAATATAAGCCGAGCAACTTCAGACATTGGCGCATTCACTGGAATTTTTCTTTATTTTGTCGCTCTGACGCAGTCCATTTTCATTCAAGATTTGACAGAGATTTTCTCATCTCGATAACTGGTTTTTTGAGCATCGCATCAGCACAATTGACACGAAATACGGCCTCTCCATATCGATAAAGGCTGTCTTCTACCTCTAACAAATGGTGTTGGAAACCATTTTTATTATGAGTATAGCAGAAGGCAGCAGAAGCAATTTAGCGCAAAGACTTTACATATACTTAAGAGGTAAATGTGCCTCGGTGGTGTAGTGGGCAGCAAGAGTCCTTGGTAAGGATGAAACACGGGTTCGATTCCCGCCTGAGACCGTGTTTTTTGCTCATCACTCTTAGGTGTATGTGAAACATCTAACACTGCGATGAAAACACTAAGAGCACTAGAAATGTGGAGCAAGTACTTTACTTCTTCTTGATGTTTGGTCACCCTTGGTCAACGCACAGAATTTATCTTGGATCTAAGAAGATTTCACAGAAAACAACACAAGAAAACTTCTAGCAGCTTCCCGTACTCCTGCGTCGGATCCTCAATTTTGTGTCTGCCATAATATATATGGCATTGCTGAAAACGGATACGTTTCATGCGGATTGCTCATTTCCCTCAATGACCGCTATTCGATCATCTTCCATCTGAATGGAATATTTATACGGAGAATGTCGTCGTCAGTTCAGAAGTATGCAACGAAACTGACACTGACTCAATGTCGCCTTGTTCAAAGCGATGTGCTCAATATTCGCAAATAGGAGATCACCTCTAACGAAGTTAAAAAATCGAAGACGAATGCATGTCTATACTATTATATCTTATATAGAATGATAGTGATTATGCTGTTAGTTGATTGATTTCGTTTGATAACTGACAACTGAATTGACAAAAGTGTCGAAATGCGAACGAAATAATGGGACAACCCAATATTTCCGGAAAAGTCGGCTTTGATCTGATCTCGGCATACGTAATTGATCATTTTCTTTCTATATTAAACTGAAATGATGTTAGTAACATGTAATATTCGGCTAATATCTCGTCGTCTCTGTCCTTAGTGTCGTATTATTTGATGCGATGGTCCACAGGTGAATTTTCATTCATGCTATGTGAGCGTTCGTTGAACTATCAAGTGGAATCCAGAAAAATGCAAGCAAATTCAGAATTCAGTCCATTGTATACACCGGAGAAAAGGCAAAGAAGGACTGGTTAGTGTTTTGCAACGGTATAACGATCTACTCCAGTATAGTGGAGTTGTACAACAGGTTCTCCTGAACTTGAGGTGAGTAGTTCATGTGACACCCTCTCGTGGTCTTCGCCCACCACATCATCTGTGCTCTGTAGGAAATCGATTAATCTTGAAAACTGTAAGGATACGATTTATGTGTTGAAATGAGGGATCGTAAATTGACCATAAAGTCATCATCGTCCTCTCCGGCATTTTCAGAGTTAATACTTTGAAGATCACTTATCCCGAGAATGTTAGAGTAGCTTACCCTTGTCAACTACCTCCTAAATTCACTTGAACAGGCTCTCAAATTTCAGCAGTGGTTTTTGTTTTTGCAGCTTCTAAAGATTTCATCGAAATAGATGTAATAAAACCTGATTAATCTCTTGGAAGAAAGCGTTTAGAATCCTTTTAGCGACTACATTCTTATCCGTCATTTTGGAAATTTTTCATGAGACAAGAGGCAGCTCTTTGCGCATCGCCACTTTACAATATCAAATGCTTTCATTTTGTTTCTACTCACCAACTTCCATTGTGGAGGTGAGTAACATTTATAAAAGCAAGCACATTCACTGGCAATAATTTTAGAGCACCCAAAATGTGAATGCCTGAAAATGGGATTTGGTCGCTTTTCAGCAGGCGAATGAGTGAAATTTTAGCTGAAACTTCAGAGTGGCGGTGGTGCAGAATCAATTCCGGCTACTATTCTAAGCCTCAAAATATTGTTTATTTCACAGCAGAAATTCGGCCTGTAAAAATGTATGTGGGAACTTCTCAATTACTTCTCAAGTAAAGTAGTAAGCACAAATTCATCACATTGCGCATTTCAATATAAAAACTTTTTGGATACATAGAAAAGGCCCAAAAATGAACCGAGAAGAGGAGTGCCTCGCAATCACGCGTGACCTCGGTCCATGCCTGAGGCTCATCTTTCCGGCCTGAGTTAGGCACAGCCTACTAATGCACTGACCATAAGCAGCTGGTCTTCAATGAATGATTGATAGACACAAAACATCAAAACGAGAGCGGTTTTTGTAATGAAGTTTTTACTATGCTATCCAAAAATTCGTTTCCTACGTTTTCTGCTAGGTTTATGGAGGAATTGGATTAGTGCATTGTGGATCCATATGATCTTTAGGCGACTCTCCGAAACGATAGCCACCTCGAATATTGTATATTCAAGTTGCAATACTATCTGTATTGTTGCATGCTTCGCTAGTATCTAGTAAATAATATCAATAATACCTCGAAAAGCTAAACAGAAGGAAATACTCATTTCAATATAATTTGCTGCTCACCACTCTGATTATTCAACACTCATATGGTCGCTAGTTTATTGATAGTGTACTGCCACAATGAACGTCGATTAGATAAAATGTTTGTCTCATGAATATCACAGTTCACTTTCAATTTCAGCTGACAGTGACCGTTACCGTGTACAAATGCGAACCAAACGGACCCGATCTTAACATTCGAAGCGCTCTGTCCACAACATTTTGCCACATCGACCTCGACCAATTAGCCATGATGATGTTCGTAGTCTACATGGAATTTTTTCTTCATAAATCGAAGTTCTACAAATAAGAAAGCCGTCCAAACCGTGAGAGTTCCTGAGAGGGACAAGTGTTTGCTGTCTATAGCCTTTGCAACCATCGCACATTTCATAGGCGCAGCCATTTCGGGGCAAATTCCCGTCACCGTGCTACCGACGAAAATACAACTATCGATCTTATCCATTGCTAAAAATAATAAGTCTTCGAAACACTTCTTCTTCTTCTGTGCACTAGACAACTGGAAAACTCAAAACAATGTTGGACAATTTTTTCTTTCACTTCTCAAAACCTATAAAATTTCACTTATTAACACACTGAATACTATATCATTCTGAAAATAAAATATGTGTAACATTTGAGAAGATATTCTCAGTTTGAAATATTTTGATGTTTGTGGCTCTATGATAGTTTCCCTCAAACTCTCAGTTAACCTATAATAAGTTTAGAGAAGATATCTTTGTTTGCAAAAAATTAAGTACTGCCTTACTTTTTGAATGCCCCTTATAATTCGGATTGGATTTTAGTAAATCAATGTCCACTAGTGGAGACTTACTGTCTCCCCTGGTCCCATTAAGAGCTGACATTGCAATGGTTCGTAAGTGGTATTAACTTGAAGTTGACTCAGAATGTTGGAGATCACAAAATCAGGCAAGAGTGCTCTCCGACCTTCGATTTCGAGAACATCGACGACCTAAAACCTAAATCGTCTTTATTTCGAAGAGTGGCTTGAAAGTATTCTCAACGAACATATGTGAAATTTGACAAGTTAGGTTAGCTTCAGAAATTGAAGATCTGTGAAAAATTGCAGCCCATCTCATACGTCTTTTCAGAATTCAAGAAAAAGAATGGAATGCTCAAGTTGTAAACTCACTGTTTGCATTGCAAAACGTTGTGCAAGTGCCTGAACCGCATCCTTGCTGATTGCAATACCAGGGAATAGGGCAGACATTGCTTGGTTTTTTGTGTAAACAGCGATAATAGGTAAGTTGTTGGGCCCGCTGGCAGTGAAGGTCCTAGTGCTCGCTGCAACGAACTTTCACCGTTTTTTGCAGTAAATGGCTGCAAATTAACTTATCAAGAACTTTAAAAATAGGCTCTCCTCGTCAGTACCATTCAATAGCACTTTCTTTCAGAATTTTGCTAATATCATGCAGTTGAAAATCATACTTCATTCAGCCGATATTCGACGTCTTCGATTCTTCGGAGCCGATAATTCGAGTCCATCGTCCACAATTATTCGCTTTCGTTGTCGCTCAAGTCGACTCTTCATCGGTGAAGCATCACCCGAATGGAAAACCTCACTCGGCAATGTTCGTTGATATAGAATTGTTCTTATAAAAAATGTTTCTCAATCGATTGTTTAGAAATCTCTTCTGAGAACATCGATGTATTCTGAAAACTGTCTCAAGTTTTTCAAGGTTTAGCATGTCACTGGCTTATGACATTTCGGCAATCTTTCAGAATATATCGATGCTTTCAAATGACATGTTTAAACAGCAGAACGAAAAGAATATCTATATAAGCGCATGTCATGGACTTCGAAAAGGCTCCGACAACATTTCACGATGTCAAGTCCTGACGTGTTGTCATTTGAACCACCATCAACTTATAACTAACGCTGGCAACTTGTATGGCAGTCATCTTGTATACGATAACATCGCCAAGTGAATTACTTCACTCGAGGGATGTTCCTTTGCAGAAAATTGGACGTGTACAACAACGAAAACGAAGACCACAACGAGGTAGAACGACAGTGAACAATCGAAACTAATCATGGGCTCTGAGATGACGAAGACTCCAAAACGTTAACCTATTAAAGTTCATTTATAAACTCCTGGTGTTAGCTGAATCATAAAAGTCACTGCATTAACTTCTTAGTTTTATCTTTCTTCTTATATAGAATTCAAAATCTTGCCTATAGGTAGCGCAGACTGCGACAACAATTAAGCAATGATGGAGTGCTAGGCATAGTCATTCTGATTAGAGCTCTTAGCTTTCTAAGAATGGGAATATTTTAAATTCCCTATCAATTCTTATTTATTACTTTGACCTCCAGGAATCACTCCACATCCAAACACGGTTGAGATTGAGCCTAACAACAAAATCATAAATGGAGCGCTCGAAAGTCTTCCTTGTTTGTAAGAATAATCATTTTCCTAAAATAGAATAAGTATTACAGACTCAATTAAGACTATTTCTAAGAGAACTGAGTGGCGAGCAAAAACATGTTGAAGAACGAGTGGTCGGGCAAATGTGAATCAGTGGTGTAGTGGTAGAGCACGCGTCCCGGATAAGATGAAACGTGGGTTCGATTCCCGCCTAAGTTCGTGTTTTTGTTCGCCACTCAGTTCTCTTAGAAATATATAAATGATGATAACACTGCGAAATATGCAGTGAAATAACACAAATTTCAACTAAGACTATTGTCTAGATCTCTTGTGTGATATCATCCACGAGATAACAACAGATTTGGCACTCGGCACCTATGTGAGGGTGACGTCGCCTTGGCCGGTCTTTGTTATATTCGGTTTTTTCAAGTCCTTCAAAG